TGTAGAACTTCACATGGGCTCTTTTTATTTCCTTTAATTGTAGCGGTAAAACATTTCCTCACGTGATCTGATCACTAACCCCATTTGGGCTTTGGAGTTTGTCAGAAGTAACTGGAACACTCAGCAAGCTGCAAGCACTGGTAAGCGTAGCTACGTTGTGTAGAGACAGCTGACTCACATTCAAAGATACCATGACACAGATACCATGGCAGGCCAAATCAGCCTTCATTTTACCTTTTTTTTTTTCTTTTTTTTCCTATAGAGATGTTTACTTTGTAGGTTTCACTCTTCAGTGTCTTTGTGAAGTTTATTTGGGCTGCAGATTACCTGTCCCGTACAACGCACCCCAGTACCACTGTGACAATGCACTATGTGTGCATGTGTGTGTGACTATAGGGAATGGGACTGAGAGGCAGAATGCATAACACACTGTTAACCTGGATAGTAGAAAATCAACTTCATATACTCTTCCAGATTGTGTCAGGGTCATAGAAAAAAAAATGAAGCTTGCACAGATTTTGCCTGTAAGCTAAAACTTTGTGTATAATACACACACATACAGGTGGACAGAATGTTCAAGACAGACATCTTAAACAATCCCAAAACACAAAGCAAACTTACTTAGGTACCTTTTCTAAGACTGTTTCTGATTTATCTTATTCATCAGGTTATGGCTTTTCTCAGGATTCTTCAACCCTTTATTCCTTTTTTATTTGTCTGATCTCACAGTTGACCCAGTTAGCAGCAGGAGATTGGATTAAAGATGTCTTGGAATCCATTCAAGCCTGCATCTTTCTTTAAGCCTATGATTCCAAAAGGAATGGCATCCTTATCACCTGTTGATCAGCCACCTCTCCTACAAATTTTGAAACCTGTTTAAGTGTTCAGGATGCATAACTGAAAACACTTCATATAAAAAGATAAAAACTCTCTACCAGTGACGTGTCTCCATTTTGGGGTCTAAAAAACGGAACACAAATTTGAAACTCAATTTCCTTTTTCGAGTCAGCATCACTACTTAAGTCTTAGAACACCATGACAAAGAAATTTGAGCATGTTTTTTATTTACTTGTGGTAATTGCCATAAATTGGTCTCACGCTGAAAATCTCGGTATCTATCACAGTTCTGCTTGTATCACATCTACCATAGTTTGGTCCTGATCTACAATATCCAAAACAAATAACGTATTTCAGCTTACAGCTGCAGCTAAGAATGCCATGTACAACTAACTTCTTTTAATTTACCCATCACACCAGCAGTGGGTGTGCCACTTGCAGAGAGGTTTACAATCATAACCTTTCCTGCCATGTGCAGAACAATTATTCCACCATCAGTATGTTTTTCGTGCTGAAGCTCAAATTGCGATCTGTTATGGTTCTTCCATGAGGCACCTCTTTGAAAAAGCCTTGGTACCACACCAGGAAAAACACAGTTTCACACTCTCCCAAGGGACTGATTGCTCCCACACTGAGTGTTATCCTGGAGTCCTCCTATACAGACTAGGACTGAAGTAGTATTCCTGCCTTTCAGCCTTGGTTGGCTGAACAGAGACAGAATTTCCTCTTCAGCTGGGATGAAATATCTCTTTTTGCAAGTTAAAAATAGGATTTTATTTAAGGAAAGCTCACAAAGATTTTTGTGGACTACACTTACCTCCCGGACAATGCCTCATGGCCATTTTACACCGTCTGGATTCTGCAATGGTTGGGCAGGGTATTGTGTCTTTAGCTGGTTTCTTCACAATTTGTCTTGTTCTCGTTTCCAAGCCCCATTTAAATCCACAAGTTTTGTTATTTCTGCTGCAAGTTCCCCACTCGCTCCACTGACCCACTTCACAGCCTTCTGATAAAGCAAAAGAAAAAAGTAATTCTTCTGATTTGTTTGGGGGTTTTATTTTTTCTTTTTTTTTT